ATATATATATATATATATATATATATATATATATATATATATATATATGAATTATAATATATATAATAATAATAATAATAATAATAATAATATATATTATATTATATATATATAAATTATGATATATATATAATAATGCACACACTCACACATACACTAAGGTTGTTCAGCTCTATATTGTGTATGTGTGTATAAACTTCACCCTTTTCTGGGGTTTTTATTTTATTTGAATAAATTAATTGAAATGAAAAAATTATTTGCAAATGACTCGTTTGATTCGAACTCAAGATTACTTTTCCTACGTTATTTTTCAAATAAAGACACTAAATTAGTAGAAATGATTTGTTATTTCAAATTATTATTTCTTATTTTTACTTCAAATAAAATTTGCACACTTTAATAATTAATAAAATTTGCAAAAATAATTCATATAACTCTTAATCTTAATCTTTCGTAATTCTAACGGTTTAAAATGCATTATAGTAATTTTATATTTAATAACATTTTCCAAATTATATTATATTCAAAATTGCAGTTTATACTTTCTTTTACAGCTGATTATCAACTTTTTTTTACATGGTTGACGACCTAATAAATTGACTACATACATATGTAGCAGATTTAATTATTTCCAGTATATCGCACTGCCGTTCCCTATAGAGTTTATCCTGACTTATTATGCACATAGGGATCCTTGCATTAAACCTGAAGCATTCTTCGATACACTGGGTGATCAAAAAGTATTTATTCATTATCTTCATATTAATTAAATGCTCGTAAAAATATTGTTTGTAAAATTCATGAAGTTAGAAATGACATAATTATTATTTTTTCTATTTATTAATATGACATAATAAGACATAAACAAAATGTTAAAATAATATAGAAATTGATGTAATAAAAAGTCGGTCATTGGTTATGAGACATATTTTACTACCGAATGTGAATTATGGTGTAATATTTATAAATTGTATATAAAACCATAAAATTACATAACATATAATTCATAAATAAACAAAAAACAACTTAAGTAACACGCAGGATGATTTTGTCAAAATATTCTGCTAAAATAATATTAATAAAATATATACAATACGAGAAATAAGTATACAGAATTAAATCGTTGCGTGTTCTTTTAATCTTGACACGTACTTCAATTTTGACTAAAATGTAAAAATTTCTCGATGATATTTAACATTGCAAAGTCAACGGCTCAGAATGGTAAAACGACTGACCCAATTGAGAAACTTCATTATTGGAGCACACGGTATCTAACGAAACACACGAGAACTCTCTCGACATTCCATTAACAGTTCAGACGATAAAGAATCACTTGAGAAGCAAGAAAAAAAAAGTGACACGAAATTTTCGACCGTACCCGTCCTGTTTTTAGAAGCGACCGATCGATCAATAGGAAAGAACACGCGACCATTCGACCGTGTTATCGTACGATCACGCGTCCAATTAGACAAAATTTGCGAATACGAAAGGGGAAACCGTGTAGCTTTTTAAAAGAGATACGAGCCGCATTTAACATAACTATTCGTCCAACAATTTCATATTTATTTTTCTTCTCGCAGAAATACCGAGAGTTGTGCAGACCCAAGGAACAGCTGGCGAAGAAAGCGGAGAACACGAAGACGATGACGACGAACGTGGTTACGATGGACGAGCTGGTAAGTAAATGTCAAATAAACTAATATGTCTATTGTGTCTTGTAAGATTGCATTAATTCTTGATATTTCGTTATTCTGTATAAAATAACATTATGACTATAAAAAATGCTTCTTATTAATTACGACAACATGGAATTTTACTGAGAAAATGAATATGTACTTCGTTGTTTTTAGCAGTCTATAATGAAATTAAAATAATATATGATAACTTAATTGCAAAACGAGGAATTATATATTTACAATATATATTTAAAACAACGTTCTAACATTCAGTTATATTTCATATACATATTTCTCAATGAGTAATATCTGTAAAACTATTGCGGTATCAATGATACACTTCATATTTCATACTGCAGTACAAAATATAAAAGATAAATTAAACTAGTTCAATTAAGTCAATAGCTCTGTCCTTAGGATTCAATAAAATTTTCAAACAATTCATAACATAATAAATTCTATATACTATCGATGTTTCAGTAAAATTGAAAGATTATGAAGATTTTTAACAAACCGATGATATTAATAAAAAATCGTAAATCAGCTATTGAGAGCTTGTCATAAAAGAAAGATCTCGATCTTTAAATTCATAATGATTTGAGTCGTAAAAATGATTTTTTAAACTTTCTTGAGTCGTTTGATTTTATAAAATTTTCGGAAAAATTTAATTTTCACTTTTCCATTCAATTTCCTGATATTATGAATTTTGTATACAACTTTCGAAAGGAGGAAGTAAACACCATTAAGAACATTTATTAATCGTATCGAGTCGTCTCAAAAGATAAAATGTCCGTGTTAATGCCCTGAGTAATTTCATTTATACATATTATCGTTGCTTAATCTTAATTTTAACATGTACCTACGTAAAAATATTTACGATATTATTCAAAATAAGTCAACAACAATTGCACCACTTATTTTGAAAGTGTAACTTCGTTTTTTAAGAAAATTGAGGAAACGAAAAATTTATTACTATGTTTATTTATATTTCAATGTGATTTATTATTCAGTAATTTATGTTTCAATATGAACTTTTCACTTATAAATAATTTATAGTTAAAATCTTAAAATATTCATTTGTTTTGATCAATTGAAATTTCGTTGCTAACTGGAATTGCATAACCAATGTAATTATTTCAATATTCCAAAACAAAAAAGAATGAGCTTACTTTCAAAATAAATAGCCCAATTATTATTTGAAATTATTCGTTATATAATTTTATAGAATAATCTGTTAAATGAAATTTATTGTATTTATTTAAAAAAGCCAAATGGATACATTTTTATTCTTTAATACTTTATAGTTCCTGTGACATCAAAATTATTTTGAATTGTTTTACAAATAGCATTACATATTTTCTTTAATATATGCTGTTGTAGCCACTAATAAGATCTTTAGTGGAATCTCTAATAAGATCTTTAGTTGATTTTGAACCTTAAAATATACAATTACTTCAAAATACAGTCAAAACATGATGCAGTTTCAATACAATCGAAAAACTTTCTATTTGAGGTTTCATTTTCGAGAAATTGAGTTAAAAAATTTAACGTTCATATTTTGATAATGTTATAAACGATATTGATTCATACTACACATAAAATTTGCTACATAGAAATAAAGCTTGTCTTAATGAAGGAATTGTTGAAAGTGTCGCTTACTTTATCGCAAATAAATTTGTATTCGTTGAATCACGAAAGCATAAATAGTTGTCAATGTTAGGTTTGTACGTACTTAAGTCAATTTTGGAAAATACATTTCCTACTTAATACATTTATAAAATTTTACAATAATTGACATTACAGGGATAAATAACATAGTTTGTGATCAAAGATAAGAAATTAAATATTGAAAAATCTTTAAAGTATCTTATATACTTACATACTTCAACAATTTGAACAAATTAATGCTTAACAAAATAGAATTTAGCACTTTAAATTAAAAATTATAATTATATAAAAACAAATTAACATCAGATTTAAATTTTAAATATTATTTTTTATTCAAATATAACATTTTGCTCTCAATGCCGAAAGTAAAATTGATCTCAGTAGTATTTTCACTTAGCATCAAAATTATTTATTTGTTTTTATTTTATTAATCGATTACCAGTCTTTATTGATGATATTGCGGCTATTAATGAATGAAAAATAAAAAAATTAGAAAAGCAATCGATAAGAAGAATATGCAGAGGTACGTGAAAAATAATAAAATGCTTCCTGTGACAGGAAAAGAATGTGACTTATTCGTAATTTTCGCTATAATATTCCCACAAGCAGAGATGCTCACAACACATACAAGGAAAGTGTAGAGAAGGTAGGAAGTTTATACTGATACAAACTCCCTTGCCACGTGGCGGTATGGAATGTAAGCACAATATTAATTTGGCAGACGGAGAGAGAGAGAAAGAGAGAGTGAAGAAGAGAGAGAGAGAGAAAATAGAGGGTTAGAATGTCTAGCCGCTTGGTCGCAGCCTCTCAGCCACCCTAATGGCTTAATTAAAACTACCCTCACTTGCGGCTTGCCCATTTGCTCCAAGTTTCCAACGGCCTACTTGTACCGCCGTATGAACACAGAGTTTACCGTTTTTCTTTGCACATGTGCACACAGCAATAAATCGTCACATCAAATCAAATTGCCTGTGCTGTCATTTACGATTAAATCTGTTTGTTCGTTTTCAAATCTTCGATTTCTAATCTTCGAAATTATTCAATTATTAAAGCAGGTGTAATTACGTGTGTTAAGTTATTCAAGCAAATACTTTTTTTTTTCTTAAATATGCAGTATTGTTATTATTTAATTTGGTTAATAGAATTACGAATAATCTTTAGAGAAAATGTAATAATGCTTTTAAATTTTTATTTCGAGAAATGTTGGAGTTAACAGGAAAAAATAAGAATAACAATGTTATATTGTTTAATTACGGACTCATTGTTACAATAAATCGTCAAATATTATAATACAATGTATTAAGTTTTTGGGATACTATGTAGAGAGTTTCTGAAATATTTTGAAATATTTTTTAACACTCATTAAACTGAACAATATTAATAAATATGACTCAGTCCTAATCAGTAGCATTTTGTGGATTTTTATATATTTATGAAAAATTTAAGGATAAAAATATATAAAAAATATATAACTGTATTTGTATTATTAGACTACAGATATTTATGATAGAAATTTGAAAATTATAAAAATGTACTCGTTATAATATTTAGGGGATCAAAGAAATCTCAATTTAAATTCCATTTCTTTCGATTACTTTTAAAAAAGTATAAATTTGCATGAATTTCCGTAATCTAATTATTACATGTAAATGTAATAGATGTAATAATATATAATAAGATGAAGAACAATTAATTTCAAATTCATTCTTTTCCCTCAGCTTTATTACGATAACATTAACAAATTTGAGCTACGAGTATCGTTATCAAAAGAAATATGTTGAGTGTAACAACCATAAATAACAAAGTATTATCCTGTCCCGTGGACATGTTCAATAGTTAGATCAAGTATCGTATCATTGCCTTGAGGTTCCAGTTACTCCCACTATTACATACTACCATCTCAACGCAATAATTTGCAGATAAGAGGAGCTCAACTTCATAAGAGTAGATACAGTCATTGTCGCTGACGAATGATACATTTCCTTTGAACAAAACTCACAGCCCCGTTTGCGAACAGTATTGTTATTAAGAAAGAACAAAGAAACATAAATACGTCTTCAGAGAAACAGCTCCTTTTCCCTACATAATTTTCAGCTTTTCTGTGCGTAATGTCTATAATTACCAGTAATATAACATTTTTCAACGAGTCGATATTCTAACTCTTTAATAACGATATAGAACAGTCATCCTCTTCATATATATATATATATATAGATGCAAAATTCACAGGACACAAAAGCAAAATGCTTTCAGATTTATATATATATCATATATCATCAGATTTATATATATATATATATATATATATCAGATTTATATAATTTCAGATTTATATATATATATATATATATCATCAGATATATATAAAGATAATCATCATAAAAATGATTTTACGTTTGTTAAAAAATAAATTGTTTATATTATTAAATTTATAAAATTGTATTTTTACTTATATATTTCACTTTCTTTGATTTTCTTCTATTTCAGAGTAACTCTTTTTTTGTATCATCTACCAGCAATTTATTGATGAAATAGTCAATAAAGTATCACTTCAAATAAAATGGTATAGTGTTGGAAATGATCATCCGTTCAAATGGTATTTAGCATGAAATTTTGTTGATTATATTTTTCTAATGATATCGTTATATTTGCATGTGTTATCGTTTAAAGCAATCATCGATATTCATTGCGAGTTTGTTAGAACAAGTATAATATATAGGAGTTATTGATACACACTTTCAATCTTCGAGAAAATAATTTCCTTCGCCATTTTATAAACTGTTGTAAGAAGCAGTGAGATTATTTAGTTTATGTGAATTATTCTAATGTTAATTAACTCACGAATTTTTCTGTTTTTTGTCTAATAAAATAAATGGATGAAAAAAGGAATTATTCTTACGTCAATATTATAGCTTTCATTCTAGCCATTTATTTATTCAGATATACTATTACATCGTACATTATATCATACCAATGTCTATGTCTATATAATGTTCATTATAATTATCAGCAATTATAAAAAAGGAAGCCCGAAGTATTAGCTAGATTTGAATTATCGATGCCCCCCTAGAAGAGACAGTCGAATGCAAACAATTAATATTTTGTCTATCCATTTCCACTCTTTATTTCTTGCAATTTTTTTTATTTTTGTCATCCGTTTTCTCTCTTACTCGCTCCATATTTCATACTTTCTCTTTCCCTCGTTTCTTAACCCTCTTTCTCTTTTTTGACAAGCGTCCTCTCCCTTGTTTTGCCGTTAGTGGTCGCTCAATCCAATGAAACAGGAGGGTTGACTCCCAAGTTATTATTTAGCTTCAGATATACATTCGTAC